TAAGTCCACTAAATAGTCGCATTTTAGATCAAGATACAGTGGATGTGAACAATTTTCCCGTTAAAATATCCTCAAACAAGTACATCAATGAACAATTCACAGGGTTGAGGAGGTCAATTCAAAATTAATTAGCCTTTAGATGGGTCTTTGAATTTCTCCCACACAGAACTCCTTAGTTGGCCAAGATAAATTCAGTGTCTTCAGGTACCGTTTTGAATGACAACGTGATGACTGGCAGTCCAACTAGAACGGCCCCTACTGCTTCGAGTGGATGTTTGCGGTTGATTGTTTAATGTTGAAGTGACACATGATTGTTGTTTTACCGAATGATATCTATCAAAGGACTATGAAGGCGACCGTCAATGTTAATTTCGATGGGTGGCTGCTGCTTGGTCTCGGAACCAGTATCTGAGTATGGACGTTGGAGACACGCACAGTTTTGTTACCTTCGTATTATCATTTTCATAAAGCAAATATTTCGACTAATGGTACGAAACAATAGTTGCATATCTTGGTGGAGATGTCGGTGAGGCAGCATGGATAAAACACAGTTCGATTATCAGTTGTTACATGCAGCGTAGAATTCAAACCGCTGGCAAGGATAAACGATTTATCCATCGGACGTCTGACGGAACACTATACACAGTTTATACCACCACTTACCAGAATAAGAAGTTCGCTCTTCATTTTGCCAAGCTAATTTCAATTGTAGAACGTTGTGCGTTTTGTAACGTCATCTACGGGTAAGCGAAATTCACTCATCTGTCAGCTTTTGTGGCATGTGATGAAAGAGAAGCAGTTTTTTCATAGACCTCAGTTTCTGTTATCACATAGCAAACACATTGGATTGAATCTTTTAGAACATTTGATGCGATGGGATAGATAACTTATATAGTTGAAAGTCCAACTGTTAGCTGGTTTTTATGGCCCGGGGACTTGGCGACCTTCCTGGGTTACTTTGAACCATCAAAGAAAAACTGTCTCTGTGGTTCATTTTGGAAGGGTTCCACCTATTTTCTTACTCGGCTTGTCCAGCGTTTTGGTTTGAGCAATATATCTGTCGTGGGCGGTACAGATGTTGTAGTGGTCGACGCCCTGGCCTTGGATGGCTGTGGGTTTCAAGTAATAGGCTGAGATCTAAGGGCCGATCTGAAGGCTTCGGGATTGAGCTGGCTTAAATGCCGTTTTCATTATGATGACTCCCACTCAGACACTATGAATCACCTGACCGATTTTCTGAGAATGATTCCGACACGCCAATTTTTCTGACCAAAACGGTAATCCCTCAGACGTACTTGGCCTCCAGGTCGAAAGGTCGATTTTCTTCTTGTGACTGATTTAAAGTTAGTCAAAATATGATCATTCTCAGCCACATTTTCATAGCTTTTTTTGGGGAGTGATCGTCAGGGGAATATGGGTTGGGAGTTGGCATCTAAATTAACACCAAATGTTCAATGTTTCTTCTGTAGTTCCTTCCAAGTTTTTTTTTCAGGGCTCGTCCAAAGGTATCCATTTGATTGAGGATTTAATGGCCGGGGAGTAATATGTGTGACACCGAGCTTGTGGACAAAATCACTAAACTATCAAGGTGTGAACTGGTTACCATTGTTGGACACACTTGTCCTGGGAGACCGAGTGTTGAGTACGGATGTCGCGCTTTCCTGAAGGTTAACACCCTTGTTGTCTCAGACATGACACAATTTCGTACTACTTATTAAAGACATCGGTATCTATAGGGAAGGTTTGCCAGTTAACTGGCCTGGCGAGGTCCATGAAAATGCAAGACCATGGTGTTTATCGTTGTGGCCAATTCAGCGGTGAGTGTCGGTTTGGTAACTTCTTAGCCCCTGCGCACTGGAAACAGCTCCGACATAAGTGCTGTATATGTTCGCCTATGACAGGCTAATAGACATAGCTGTAAGCAAGGATTTTTAAGTGGCTTGTGAAATTGAGCCAAGACACAACAGCGAAGCTTGGTGGGAACGATGATCTGGCAACCAAAAACAAGGCTTTATCAAAATAACCGAATAACTTAGTTGTTGATACTATAAGTTTTTCTGGAAAACAGATATGTGACCAGGTGTTCCGATGGAACTCCATCGGCTTTACTATTGGGCTATCATTTTCGGTGGCATCCATATAAGCAGTCTTCGCCAGTTGGATTATGGTCTTCAACTCCGATGAATGGGCTTCTGGTATGGTATTTCCTTGTCCTATCGCATGATGATAAATCAAGCGCAAAAGTGCGCCTATTTTGTTAGTGTTCTTCGCTGAGTCAGTCAAGCAGGACTGAAATGCAGTTGCGGCTGGCTAGCGCTGTAAACTGAGGCACACTTCTTGGAACCAAATTCAGTCAGATGTGATGTGTCGGACGTAAAGCATTTTGTGGAACTTCTTCGCAACAAAAATGATGATCACTGCTACCTTCTAACCAGAGTTTCGTTACATTGGAGCCAGTGATCTTGTGGCACAGACAATCGTCTTTTGCACACTGTCAGAAAGTACATGGGCTGCCCGCTTCAGTTACACATTTCAACGAGTCATTAGTGAAAATAACACACAAATTTGGGTTGAAGCACGTAAGCAAAAGTTCGGGTGGCAATCGCAACTTCACCGTTTCAAATACAACCTGGGAGTCCTCTGACCAATTCCACCGAACTGTTTTGGTCAGGAGCTGATTCAATGGTTTACCTAAGCGGTGAATAATTTGTAGGAAGGCACTGTAGTAGCTGATCAACCTCGAAGTTAGCGTCATCCTCACAATTGTATTGATAGTTGAAGGGTAATTTCGATGACCACAGCTGTCGTCAATAAGGCCGAAATACTTCACCAAATTGAGCGGAAATTTGCATTTTCCATTCTTCAGCCGGGACCCATAGTCATATCATGGCTGAAGAACGCAATACAATCCGGATAGAAGCTCTTGTCTAGTTGCTGCCACAACTATGATATTGTGAAAGCAGGAAGCGACTCCACCCACGTCACACAATATTGTGTCCATAATTAACCAAAGGACTGTTAGCGCAGTTTTCACTCTGCACGGTAGTTGTTTATGCTGGAATAGGGTAAGGTGTGTGGTATTAATCGGATGATATCGGAAGCTCCAATTCGAATCTAGTTTGTAAGCCGATTTCTGAAAGGTACAGGTTCTAAAATTATTTGCTACCGTCCATCTTTGCAAAAATATTATCAGTCAAGTGTAGTGGAAATTGATTGCCCAAGGCATCATTAAGGTCTGCAGAGTAATTGGGACAGATCCGGAGTGCATCATTCCGTTTTTTGACAGCCGCTAGCTCACAAAGAGTAGCTCACCAGCAAGCGTCCGAGTTCTGAGTCGATATTTGGAGAAATCTGTGGTACGGAACGACCGCCAAGCTTAGGCACTGGGACCTACATTGCTCAAGATCTACGTAAACAACCTAACTCGAAGAACGGCTTTATGTTTGGAATATCTGAACAGACTGGGATAGGCGATCTATCAAAGAAATTTTGCACAGTTTGGATGGCTTGGCGGCAGGGATCAAAGTACCGACCAACCCAATTAAATGTAGTTTAGCACCTTTGACAGGAAATCAACAGAAATATATTGGTGAATAGTCGACTATTACCACAGCTATCTTGGTATGAATACCTACATTGTTATGGTATCGAGTGAGGGCTACAAGATCCTACGAATTTTACCATGTTCGGCCTCAGTTTGGACCGGTGGAAGTGTACCGGAACTGCTGTTCACAGTTACAGAGTTTATCATGGACTATGGTGCGCTGGCTCATTTTCGATCTGCGAAAGGCGAAAGTCTGCTAGTAGGACGAGTATAGAGATTGGCTACTAGAATAATATCCGGAGTGAGACATCCTTGTCAATCTTAAGTAGGTCACCCACGAATAACTCAGTACTTGTATGGACAGGATGTTTTGTGTCAACTCCTAGGAGAGGTAGAGATTCCGGTGGTAGCGTCTCTCTTTAACAAGGCAAGGACAACGGCCGCGCGGTTGCACGTTTGCAAGGTTGAAAGCTATCATGTTCTTAGCTTTCTTGGCAGTGAATTTGTGGAAAACCTCCCGGAATGTGTCGTGATGACACCTTCGGTTGAGACCCCTAAAAGCTTATCTGACGAGCTTTTTTATGTTAACTCTCAAACCTGGATGTGCGGGCCGGATTAAAGGGCATGTATTCTAGGCCCTCGTCCAACTTCACCAACTAATAACTATCCGGTCCAGTGCAAAAGCAATGTAGGATGGCACAAGTCTCCGAGCCTTCTCTAAGTTTCCTCCATCTGAATCCTGAATGAGGGCTTTCGGTATTCTCACTGTCATGCGTATACTTAAAGACCTTCCTCACACTATTGAATTACAGGCAGATCAATACAACCACCAGCTGTGGAAACACTCGTTTTGTGCTGTTGGCCTCCCGAGACCAACCGTGCTAACGAAGCATGCACAAAGTCTGTTGCAGGAGTGAGAAGAGCCGCAGGGCTAGAAAGTAGCTAAGGCTCTTAGGACTGGTAAATACTTCGTTAGCAAGTCGTCGGTGACCGGGTTGTCCTATACTTGGTAGCCGAACAAAGGTATAATATTTTTTTTGTTTGTGTTGTAACTTACCAACGGCTTGCGTGTACTCAATTCAGCTTACAACTCGATAAGACGTTCTATGCCATTTTGAATACAGTAGCTTCGAGAAGTTTTTGTCACATCATTTTTGTATTCTAACAGTTGTGTAGTTTAACGGCCTCTGTTTTGTTATGAATGAACATATAAACGAATTTAAACTAGATCCAGAGAGCCCGCAGCGGCTCTGTTTTTGGGGAACACTAGCCGGTTTGAGATCAATTACATTTGAAGCTGAAATAATGTAGGCATTCCAAATTTCGAATTCAACAAGAGTGAACTGTCTTTTGATGTTAATTTATGGAAGCACTGTTTTGATGAAGTTAACTGGGCGTCTGATTCAGATTACAGTTGGCCTTACAAATTATCCATCCATTTTCCTGTTGCATCAGGTTGGAAGTGTCTCCTTACGAGGACAAAGATGACAGCGATCGAAATGAAGGTCATTCAGCTGCTGTGAAATTTCGAATCGACGCAGCACAGCAAGCGTACATCCAAGACGTGAGCTATCACACATCACAACCAGATCGTCACGAACAAGAAGTCCATGAACGCAGGCAGGCTGTCACACGACAACTGATCAAGTCCAATCGAAAGATGCAGACGTTGAACACACGATTCCAGCGACTACTCAAGCAGCAATGTGTGTTGGACAGCTTCGCCGACAGTCTGATAGCAAAAAAAGTATCCAGCCAGACTGCAGACGAAAGCAACACCCACGAGGATGTTCGACATGGGAGAGAGAGGTCCAAACGGCGAGTGTGGCGTTCAAGGTCTCTGTCCAGAAAGAGAAAAATGCAAAAGGAACTTGAGGGAACGATGCAGTTTAGTGATGTAAGCAAAAAATACCTTGTTTTTAGGTAACATAACCGAGAGGACACATGAACAAAACGTTCTATGTATTCATCGCCATCCTTCCAACAGTAACCGACATGATTTATATCAGAGCATGCATAAATTGATCTCTTGTTTTAGTGAGGATGTCCAAAACTCGATGGTTCATGCACAAAGATAAAAAAAGTCTGAATACGATTCCGGAAACCCTGATTACTAAGGATGTTACCGACTTTTATGACAGTTCAGCAGCAACCATTTCATATGAATGGGTGGCAGACTACTCGTCAGCCTTGCCATCATGTAATTTGAGGGGTGCATTAATTTGGACGCAAAGTGGCCCAAGAGATACTTGATAAAGTCCCGCATTAAGAAAAAACAAAGCGTACCGAAGTCTGGATGTCTATTCTTCAGGGTTCTGCTGAATGACGTCCAAATACTCAACCGCAATCCCGGGTCTATTGGATGGAAACCTTTTCGTTTTAAAGACTTGTGGCCGTTGTGTTATGCTCACTGAAGTATCTAGGTCTCATATTCTTTCTTTGGAAAAACGGTTAGCATTAGGCCGGGAATTTTCACGGCCTTCGGCACAAGAGTTATGACGAATGCCGTTGAAAAATCACCCTGAATATGTCCGTACATTGAACATCACAGATAAAAAGCTAGGACAAGTCATTTCAGTCTCCCTAAAACTTGTTTTTTTGGTTAGTACTTCATTCCACGTACCTCATTCCACCACATGACAACTGTCCGCAAGGGTTATTAGTAAATTTGGATTAAACAGTCCAGGCAGTGGTGACTGCTAAACCACCACCAATCCCATTTAACTTAACATAACCGATTTCTCTCGCAGAAATTTGCCAGAAGTTTCAAAATTTCTCGAGTAACCGCAGAGGAACCGTTCGTATATATTTTGGTCTCCGCACTCTGTCTCACCTAATACAATCATCTTTCTGTCCCACCGAGCTGCACTTTTCACGCATGATTTTCTTGAATGAAGTGCAAATTAAAGGTCCCAACTTCAGTGGTGTAGGTTGCTTTGCAATGTCTCCCTTTTGATGGTGCGTTTGTTTTTCTATGAACAGATAAATATCTAACGATCTGACATATTGCTTTTTTCAATTTGCAGTTTATTTGTTTTTACTTGAAGCAACTGCCTGAGATGAGGACAGTGGTAATCACTTCTCTGGCCCAAACAGTGCTTGTGCACTGGTTGGTTTTATCGAGTTGCTGAGGTCGGCGTTTGGTTTAAGCTCAAAGTAGCAAGCAAGTTGTCCTGCCAACACCTGATCTATGGAGGCGCGAAAGCACAGACAAATGCATACGTTTTAGTCTATTTCGGTTGCAGAAGGAACCTCTGATGTGACTGATTGAAGGTGGTGGCCCGAAAAAAAACTGGGTCGCTCTCAATTGATTGGCGATCGTCTGCATAATTTGTCATCCCAAATGTAACAGTTCGTCAGCTCATCAGCGATCCGAATTTTTTCCTTCACAAGTCCGCTAGTAGTAGTGCATAACAGGTGGACGTGAGGGCAAGGAGATCCCCGCGTAGAAACCTATCGCCTTCTACAGATAGGTTTTGTCGGGTTTTGGTCCTGCGGGACTGTCCTTACCGAGAAGTCCGTGTCCTCTAATTCGGAATGTCACTTATTAATGGTCAATTATTCAAGAGCTTTACCGTTATCGAGCAGAAGACATACTCAACTGGATATCCCATTTCAGGTAGGCCAAAAGACATAGATGAGTGGCCGAGGACAATAAGAGTCCATATAAGTATAACTTACTGTTCAAGATTGGCAAAACTCGGAGACTAAACTTAACTGGTGAGACCTAGCAAGACCGAAGCCAGTAGTGGGCTGTCGAAGAGTACTGATCAACCTTGTGAGTGGGATGTTGTTCAAAGAAAATATGGTTCCAATTAGTGATTCCGACCCAGCCATTCTACTGACGAAACAAAGAGGCCGGTTTAGTAAGGTACGATATTCATCCGAGTAATTCACACATTCTGTCCCATTCTGTCCGCGCTCCCAAGACCGCACTTATTGTTGAACTTTCTTGACCATAGATTCAGTTCCCCAGCCTGCCTCCGAGAACCGCGTTTATTACCAATGAAACTCTTCAGCTGAGTCATATTGAGGCCATGCGGAACTTTTTTACCCTCTACAACAACCAAACACAACAACTTGATGAAGATGTAAATGTGGTTAGCGAGGCACTGGAACAATGTCGAGTGGAGATTGAAGACCTGGAGGCGCAACTTGATCAGCTGTCAATCTGTCATGATTTGGTCTCATCCAAGTGAGTACCGTTTAGCCCAATTGATCCTTTAGTTTTGATTGCAATAACCAGCTGACAAGGTGCTGCTGATTCTTGACAGAAATCCGGTAATCCTACCAAAAAGGAACTGATATTCGGTATTCGAAAGCCTCCATCAGTTTTCAGGCTATCTGCCATCCCCAGTAAAGATGTGATAACCCAGACAGCTCCGATCTCACAAATCTGAGTTTTTGAACTGTCCCCTATCTTTTCAACTGGTTTCATCATTTCTCGGAAGTTGTTCATATCTTTTGTTGCTATTCGGATTCGTGATTGGAACGAAATGTTTTATCTTTTTCAAAAGAATGCTACCTCACAATGCCATGTGGATTTTAAACCATCTAAACTAATTGATTTTGACGATTTTTCTGCGCTAGCGAGCTGTTGCATTTGGAAATGATACCAGGTGAAGTGCGAGGTACAGTTTTCGACAGTCGGAATAACACAATCCCATACTAGCGAGCTTTGCATTTGGAAGTGATACCAGGTGAAGTGCGAGGTACAGTATTCGACAGTCGGAATAGCACAACCCCATAGGGTTTTACCTCTACCACATGCAACGGGTATTGCATTAGTCTCTTTCTTGAAACATCTTTCAAAATATAACCTAATATTGATGTTATAGCTTGAAACTATCGAGGCTTGAAGACATCGCATTCTCTCTCCTGGTCACCTCATCTCATTTAAATGAGGTATTGTTATGCGGACATACATTGTTTGAGACTTTAAAGTACTTCTTATTCGAGAGCAGTTTATTGGTAAGCCGATTGCAGCAGAAATGTTTAAATGATGTTCAAAATATACAGTCAAGTCTGTCAGGTGCGATGCCTCGGATGCAATGAGGAGGAGTAAAAACTTTGATGACCTCGTACTTTTGGGGTTTCATACATCTGAGACGAAAAAGCAGGTCGTTTTGTATTGTGATTTTATCGCATTTAATCACATCCAATCTGTTTACCAATTCATGCGTTGTTTGCTTACTTCTCTTGGGATGCACCAGACGTTTTGTTTTCGTCAGCATTGCTAGTGTTAGTAATGGTAGTCTACTTAGCCTTTTTTAATCCCGTTAGGCCTCGCAGCTTCTCTTGCATTTACACCTAAACAATTCAACAAACACTAACGTGCTAGTTTTATGAATACCAGCAAACGAGTGAAATCAACGTCGTAACACCATCATCCTCGTCATGCTCACGAAGCAATCTTTGTCAGCTGTTGATATGTAGTTGTTGAACTTCAAGCCGTATAAGTCATATTTGGTGATTGCTCAGACGCTTTACAATTTGTCTGCCAAGATGTGCGAAAGAGACCAACGGACATCTGATCAACCACCAGTAAACGCACCCGACCTACCAGTACTTGGGCACATTGCCAAATACTTCACAATTTTTGACATGTTCTCAAACCTACTGGTAATGTCATTCCTTCTAAACTCTTCACTAGAAAACCAAATGGTCAAAACTGGTTTGGAACCATCATGCACGATCATGACAATGACATCTGACTGTGGAAATTAACATGAGCCCACACAAAGAGCACCACCACATGGCCACACAATGATGGCGAGTATACAGAAAGGCCGCCTGTGAAAGAAAATGGCACGACTGCGTTCGTCCATGCTGACGTTCACGGTCCTACTGTATGTCCAGCACTACAACAAACAAGAACAATTATTGCTCTTCTCGCGTATTTACCTGTGTCTTTTCTGGCCCGGAAACTTATTGGATGGCCTTCAGCTTTTCTGCCTGACCGTCAGTATTAGCTCTAGAAGGCTACCCATCGCCCCCTTACCGGGCTATCTGTACTCATGGAAGTAAAAAGCAACGCTCTATATGGACAACAAAATAAGGTCTGCAACGAAAAAAGGGATAAAAGCACTATCGGCACTGATATCGTAATGTAGGTAGTCGGCGTTCTCATCAAACGATACATTGGCAGCTGAAGAATTCATAGTAAAAGGCATGAAATGCTGCGAAATGCCATAGCTTTCAATGCAAGATATAAACTGGGTCCTCTCTCAGGTGGTTTTGACACGAGAAAGTTTATAAACTATAAACTATAAACCATAAAGTATAACATGGTGGATAGACCATGGACAAGTCTGGATATGGTGGCATAGTTTACCCGTGGTTTTCTAAAGTTCATCAAATAGGAGCATGTGAGTATCACCGGGTTGCAAAACGTTGTATGAACTGTGCTCTACGAGTAAGATATGCAACTCAAGCTCAACTTGCATATCTGTGAGTGGGACACTGTCTTGCTTTTTGTTAGCCCTGAGGGATAACAACAATAGTTCGATGTAACGAGGTCTGCTGAGTACGACCGCCATTCAGGTAAATTTACCTGGAGGACGAATAATGATGTCGTTACTCAATTTTGTCTCCTCTATAGAGGAAAATGTTGGTAGCTCAGGTATCGTAGATGGCGGTCGTTGGCTTGTTCGCTGAGCTTGGCAATTTGAATGCAAACGCCTCACAATAACGCACTGATGATGTCACCTCGATTGGTGATGAAACGTTTGCAATCAAATTGCCCAGCTCAGCGAACAAGCCAACGACCACCATTTGTCCCCTCTTTTCTAATATACCGCTTTGTCCGCAAAATTTCCACCCGAACTTGAAACTATCTCAACTTTTTTGCATTTTATTCCCAAATGACAACGAAAAATTAGTGTTTGAGACGTCGTTTTTTCAAGTTAATCTGCCGTGTGCTTTAGTTACCCTTCAAAACAGACAAAACAACCACGCGAAGAAGTTCATCAGGCGTCACAGCAGGGCACTATTCCCAAAGGAACCCGACCAGAATGTGCCGCTGCCACGTATGGGTGACAGCAGAATGGAAACACAGGAAGAGAATGTAAACCACCCTAAAATTAACCATTCAAACCAAAATCCTTCGACTAGCAAAGACGTCCCAGTTTCTCTACAAAAAAAGAAATTTGCCCACTTCATGCGTTGTTTCACATGTGGCTGCAGTGAAATTTATTTGAGAAGGGTGGAGGTAATCTTTGGTTTCAGGCCCCTGGAATACCTCTAACTTTGGATGGAAAACTAAATCACCAGATGAACGACTGAGTGGATAGCATCATTATCGATTGCCAGAAACACCTTTCAAACAGACCTCCCAGTTGATCTCGGTGCAACAGAATATTAAAATTGACCTTTTTCAAGGTTGTATTGATTACTCGCTTAAGGCCCCTCTTTGTGCACGGAAGTGATTCCCGGTCATTATACGCCTGTTCTAGTTTGTGTTAATGTGTGAACAGCACCCCATAGTTTGGCTGAATCATGCTGCAGCATCAGATAGTTCCTTCTCGCTGACTACCGAAATGGCCGCTGTTTTCTTTCGGAAAAAAGATATGTCGCCACACAAGCGAACGTGAATAAAGACTTGATATTTTTGCATCAGCCTATTCAGTGATAGGTTGGGCGAAATCGTGTTCCAATGTCCAACTGGACTGACTGAGCAAGCAAATAAAAGCAAATGAAGTATCGTTGACAGTCAGATGAATTGAAATTGTTCAGTGGCCTAATGGATTGCTTCAAGCAACAAAGGCCTAATTAGCGGGGTTTGTGATGGACACCCAGACTAAACATATTCGAAGTTCGACGTTGTTCGAACGAAGTCAGTCTATCGTGTGTTCTGAACATAGTAGATTTTGTGGGACTTCCAGCAAACTATTAACCACTGTCTTATCCAGTTCAAGTTCGGGGTTAGGTGGATTTATCCAGTAGCGGAATTGTACTTTACGATAACTTAATTTCCTGCGCACCGAATTCTCTATCACGAATATGAATACACATCGATAGAAGTAAAACATCAACCAAAGTAAAGTAAGGCAGGGAAACTTACAAGAGTTTTACTTCGTGAGTGACGTAGGTTGCACCAAAAATCAATTATTTCTAAATCACTTCATAACCTAGTCGTTTGACCTGACGAAGCTTTTAGCCGGATGTTTCCCACAATTTTCAACAACATTTCTCACTTACTCTTTTAGCTTGTATAAGGGTTTCCGAACATTTTAATTGGCACGAATGGCCTTGGTGAGTCTTGAGTATGCCGTTATTAGTACCTTATTTAGCGACTTATCTATCTGAAGCTTTCTTGAAATGGCTACATTTACAAATATTCACTAACATTCGAGGTCTGAATTTTGAAAATCTCACTTGGTAAGTCGGTCATTTGTAGCACCCCAAAACGTCTATGTATTATTAGTTCGCCACCCCGATTGTCGAGAGTGCCTTACAAAGCCAGCCTTACCCAGCCGAGGTAAAGCAACAATAGTTGCCTTTCAGAAGAAAGCATAACATGGACCTTGTTCTTCTGAAAATAACACGCGACAAAACATTATCGAACAGCCACAAAACGTGACATTTTCCAGTACTGAGAAAGTTTCTATACGGGAGTCAAAAATCAGGGCCGCGTATTTGGAGACCTCTGCTCCATCGGAATCTCGGTGCAGAGTTCAGTAGAACTCCGGCACCATTCACGGTATGGCATATGTAAGGCCAGTCTGCTCACAAGAAACCATGTATGAGACCTGAATATACAAAGTACGGTGTGTTTCCAAAGCCAGCAAATTTGAAGACTGGATGTTTGAAGACCTTGTCTCCAAAACTGGAAAATGACTAGCTACTGACGCTGCTGTAACGTTACTCATGTAGTATTAAATGGTATCTACTGAGTGCATCGCGTTTTTATGATACTGTTTCGCCTGGATACTGTTTTCACCTCGAAAGACATTGGTCAGATACAGCCATGCGTGAAATCTCTGAGTACAGTAAAACAACAAGTCTGAATTTTTACAATTTCAGGTTTTGAATAGCTCACCAATGCAGACTACTTGTAAGAACTACATGCTTGCGTTTGTTTCACATTCTAGCAAAAACAACTCGATGTAGAGATGAATACCCGGCATTTAAAACAAAAGTAACGTGAATGAAGATATCCTCAGGGGTACTTCGTGGAGATCCTCTTCAAAAA